TGCAACATTTTCACTGATATTGAATTTTATTAAATCAACATCAAGCTGACACAAAGTGAATAATGAAACTTTTGTGTGCTATAAAATTCCTTATGGCTGAATTGAACTAATTCATTCGTAAATATTAACTTTACAAAGTTATTGAACTGAATTGTCTTTTTAGAGGTAAAGTTTTTCATTAAATAAAACAATGTTTTTGTACAATTTGTGGTTGCATTTTATTTTTCTTCATGTAATTACCTACTTTTTATAGAGCGTTTCATTATTACTGGCCAAGAAAAGTTTAGATTTTTTCCAAGTTTTTAATGATTTTGTGGTTTATTAATATTAATAAAGGGAGACATATTACACTTTTATAGAGCAGTCTAGTCTATATAATGTTTGTTGGCTCTATTTTAGGTATTTCCATAGCTAGTTTTGGCCAGATTACCCATTTTAAATAAGGTATAGACCCACTAAATGAACGGGTCCAGATCGGATCCGGGCCGGATGAGCTACTTCATGAACGGGTCCGGATTGGATCCGGGCCGGATGAACCACTTTATTAGCGGATCCGGGTAGGGTCTGGACCGGATCCGGTCTGGATCCGTAATCCTTATCTGTTCCAGATCCGTTGCGCTGTGCAAGTGGTGCATTTTGCTATCTGGGATGTTTCCTCTGTATGTGCACTGTATGTGTACTGAGAGAGTGTGCAGTGGAACTCACTGATGTCTTCACAGACATGTTCAACATCTCGCTAAGCCAGGCTGTTGTCCCCACATGCTTCAAAGCTACCACCATCATTCCAGTCCCAAAGAAGCCGTCTCCATCCTGCTTCAATGACTACCGTCCAGTTGCACTTACCCCTATCCTCATGAAGTGCTTTGAACGGCTAGTCATGCACCACATCAAGTCTGCCCTCCCTCCCTCCCTGGACCCCTTCCAGTTTGCATATCGGTCCAACCGCTCGACCGATGATGCCATCGCCACTACCCTCCACTCAGCACTCACACACCTGGACAAAAAAGACTCATACGTCAGAATGCTCTTCATAGACTTCAGTTCAGAATTCAACACAATCATCCCTCAACAGCAGTTCGGGTCGGCAGCAACACATCCAGCACCATCACACTGAACACTGGGGCCCCCCAAGGATGTGTGCTGAGCCCCCTCCTCTTCACTCTGCTGACAATTCATGATTAATACAAATCTTCTACAATGTCACTTCCTGTGTGTCATAATTTTGTTTTTATAAGGAGGAAAATCATGACAGAAGTAACAAGGTTGAGTGAAACAGATAAAGCTAATAAAATGGTTAATTTAACACTAGTTAAAGCAGTTCCTCTAGACTTTGAGCATGTGAAATTTCTACAGACACTGCAACTTTGAGGCATGTTTACAAGCGTATATAACAAATAATGATCATTATATATTAAATATATAATCAAATCCACTTTACTGCAAAAGTTTGTGTTCTTCATAGCGAAATTCGCTCGAGTCCCACATTCACATGCGCATGAATGAAAGTCAGCGGAAGGAAAAATCTAGAGTGAGCGGCCCGTAATAATTTATAAGTTTTTAGTAAAATAAATTAAATATCAGTCTGAAAGTTGGTGTCAAAAATATGGCAGTATTGTATTTTTATGTTAATATCACATTAGAAAATTGTGTCATTGTAGAAGATTTTTATTGTATTTTATTTTTATATGGTCATGTATTTAACTGTGTGTGCTCAAATATAACGAGCTGCTATTAAGAGAACATGTGATGATCTTGTGCTGACTGAGACCTCTTTGTGTTACTATTATGCGGTCACGAGGAGATGTAGACCAGCTATAGTGGTCTGAATGATATGTATTGTTTATGGCAGGGCCTGAATTTCATTTTTTTAAACTGGGGGGAATTCCCCACTTACATGGGTCACCAAATTTATCCAAGATAAATTTTGACGCAGCGGGGCTAAATTAATAATCTTCATTTATTTATGTCTACAGATTTTAATGTATGGTGGTTTTCAAAACAGCTTAACAAAATTTGTCATCTCTCCTCCAAACTTTCTAATGTTTTATCAAAAAATCTGATCAAAAATGAGCCTTCCCATTACGAGGTGATATTTGACTCCTTAAAGTGATTTACAGGGGAATTTTATTTTTACCTTTGTAATGGCATTTTTCTAACTTTATTAAAAGTATGTCATCTTTTGTCAAATTTAAAAATATATATTTATCCGATTTTTAAAATTTCTAATTAAAACACAAGAACAAGTTGAATAAGAAGAATAAGTTACCAATCAAATGAAATCAGTATTAACAAAATTAATTTGTACAGTTTCTAACTTTATTAAAAGTATGTAATCTTTTGTCAAATTTAAAAATATATATTTATAAGCTTTTTAAAATGTCTAATTAAAACATAAGAACAAGTAGAATAAGTTACCAATCGAATGAAATCAGTATTAACAAAATTAATTTGTACAGAGGTGGAACAGAAGAACACAAAAGTGGCATGTAGATGTATTTTCAGACATTTAACACTAGAGCCGCCACGGGGTACATTTTTTTCATGCATACGCAGATATTTCTTGATGCTGCTGTGTTTACGGAAGAACGAGAAAAAATAAAAGATTTGATAGGGATAGCTCTGGCTTTTGTGTGGATGAGCCCTAAGTAGATCCTTTTCAAATCCAGCACTTTCAGATCTGATGCTGCATCCTAAACTAATGTGAAACAATAATGCATCAAGCAATAAAATATCATCTGGATAAATCTGTCCTAACCAGTCATTACAAGTGACATGACATAGAAATATTATCTAAAGTTTTCACAGTGAATAAAGTTCATCTTCAAAGCCAGCAGATTTAAAGGGGTCATATGACGTTGCTAAAAAGAACATTATGTTGTGTATTTGGTGTAATGAAATGTGTTTATGCGGCTTAAAGTTAAAAAAACACATTATTTTCCACATACTGTACATTATTGTTTCTCCTCTATGCCCCGCCGATCTGAAATGCGTAGATTTTTACAAAGCTCATCGGTCTGAAAAGCGAGGTGTGCTGTGATTGGCCAGCTATCCAGTGCATTGTGATTGGCCGAATACCTCAAGCGTGTGACGGAAATGTTACGCCCTTCACCATACTGTGATGCCGTGTCCCGGCACGACGAGACAAAATCAATAAAACCCATTACAAACAAGGCATTTGTAGCATCCAGTGGGGACATAATTACTGATTATAATGATTTATACTGTCTTTTTACGCATTTCGTTGCGTATCATGCTGCGTAAACATAAAACCATGTTGTGATCGGAGAAACGACAAACAACAAGCTCTGCTCTACACTGCTCAAAACTCAAATTTGGAGTTCACATTTAGGAAATGCAGATGCAAGATATACTGTCATGTAGCTTTGCAACTGATTGTTCTGTGCTTCTCTTGTAAGTATAATGAACACCTGAACCCGGCATTAAACGAGCCCTGGGACTAAATTATGAAAGACTTTAGTATCGATAAGCTCTAATGGTAACTGTTCTTCTTTTGGTGCTGGGGAAATTAAGGAAATACACTTAAAATATATTATTGGTACATAAATATTATCATGCTAACTGTATCTTGCCAACTGATTGTACATGCGATAATATCAAGACATTCCTCTGTGATGGGTTTTCGTTTTTTGCAATCCAGAAGCTAGGTCTCTATTGTACTTTAGGGCTGTATGATTAATCTAATTTTATTTTCGATTGAGTTTGACTTCCCGAGGATTATGAAAACAATCTGTTTGAGTTAAAGCAATATATTAGAGAAAATCTGATGTGTCTTGAGGACTTTATGGTCGCCACGTGCGTGTGTCTGTTAAGTCCACGTAATAGCAAGTTCTGCGGCTAAATGTGGCTAAAGTTTACAGTCTCATGAGAGTGGCTTGTCGCCCCACTGAAGTGAGAGGCAGGGTGAACAGAGCTCATTAGCATTTAAAGGAACAAGCACCGAAATGGCTCGCTATGAACAGAGCTGTTTTTGACAGGGTAAAAATGGTGTTGTTTTACACTACAATTACGAAATTTTAACCAAAGCATGTTATGGACTTTTTATTAAGACCCTAAAGAATCATATAAACTTGTGGAAAATGGGCATCCGATGACCCCTTTAACATGTGAGTCTCAAGGTATCCTTTACGCGCCAAAGACTTTCCACACCGAGAGCAAGTTCAGTTCAGTTCATCTTTATTTATTTCCCAAAGGCAATTTGGTTGCAGCACACAAGCATTTCACATAAACAACAAAAACACAATACAACAAACACAATCCATTTCCTTCCTAAAAAGTTCTAACCTTAAATTTAAAAACTTTACAGCTGAGGGGATAAATTAATGTCTCAACCGATTTGTTTTACTAATAGGGGTTCTATAACGAATGCCAGAAGGGAGAAGGACAAACTCTTGATACATAGGGTGGGAATCATCTAACAAAATGCTCTGGGCTTTACCCAAAACTTGTCTATGATATAACTGGACCATAGTCATCTGCTTCCTCCCCGTTGTTTTACTTCCCTGGTTTACAATACTCTCAAGACAATTCTTGTTTTTCACATTTAGAGAATTAAACCAGCACAACAGTGAAAAAGATAACAGTAACTCAATATAGGATCTGTAGAACATGCACATCAATGTTTTGTCCACATTAAATTACCTTAGATTCCGCAAGCAATACAATCTTTGCTGCCCCCTCTTACACAAAACCTCAGTATTGGGAGAAAATTACAATTTGTTATCCAAAACAGTACCCAAATACTTGTACTGTTAAACACTCTCAATGCCTACTCCATTAATGAGTGTTTGCTTATACTAAATAGATTCCCCCTAGAGTTAAAATCAATAGTCATCTCCTTAGTTTTAGAAACATTACGTTTTAAGAAAGCATTCTGACACCACATAATAAAATCATCAACCACAGGACCATGCATGGAGTCCTCCTCACTCATTAAGCTAACAATTACAGAATCATCAGCACATTTTATAATATGCCTATTTCTATAACTACTCTTACAGTCATTTGTGTACAAGATAAATAATAAAGCAGAGAGGACACATCCTTGAGGTGATCCAGTAGATGACAACAGCCATTCAGAAAAACAGTCATTTACTTTAACTCTTTAAGGTGAAAGGCTTTTATGAAGAGTGAGTTACCAAATGAACCTTGCAGTGTCCTTTCTGTGTAAAACTCTTTCCACACTAAGAGCAGGTGAAAGGAATTTACCCCGTATGAACTGACATGTGTAAAACTCTTTCCACACTGAGAGCAGCTGAAAGGCTTTTCTGAAGAGTGCAGGGACGCGGGAAGTAGGGGTGCTGAGGGGGCTGCAGCACCCCGTTTTCACATGGTTGCAAATGCAACGCCAAGTTTGTTCATTTAAATTTATTCAGTTTTAGCATTTAATAATTTATTTGTAATGATCTCTGAAATGTAAATTGTAAGTGGGCTATAATAAACCCATGTTTATCTTTATAAACATGATTAATTTTACTTGTGATGTTTTCTATATGGGATGATTAGCCTAATCCTCATGAACACGTGACGCTGGCGCGTGGTTTCAGACATGAACTATACAGAATGCGAACAAGATTAACTTTAATACAAGGAGATAATGGCGCAAAAGCGAATATCAGATTTTTTTTAAATGCCCATCCCAGCAAAAACTTTCCAAAATCGGCATCCAAACAATACCAGCCCCAGCACCGACGTAAGTGAACCAGCCACCCCCCTTCACCCGACACGGACACACACAGCACCCCCAACCGAAAACATCTTCCCGCGCCCCTGGAAGAGTGAGTTACCAAATGATTATTAAGTTGTCCTCTCTGTGTACAAGTCTTTCCACACTGAGAGCAGCTGAAAGACTTTTTCCCAGTATGAATTAACATGTGATCGTTAAGGTTTGATTTAACTCTAAACGTCTTTCCACACTGAGAGCAAGTGAAAGGCTTTTCCCCAGTATGAATTAACATGTGATCGTTAAGGTTTGATTTAACTCTAAACGTCTTTCCACACTGAGAGCAAGTGAAAGGCTTTTCCCCAGTATGAATTAACATGTGATCGTTAAGGTTTGATTTAACTCTAAACGTCTTTCCACACTGAGAGCAAGTGAAAGGCTTTTCCCCAGTATGAATTAACATGTGATCGTTAAGGTTTGATTTAACTCTAAACGTCTTTCCACACTGAGAGCAAGTGAAAGGCTTTTCCCCAGTATGAATTAACATGTGATCGTTAAGGTTTGATTTAACTCTAAACGTCTTTCCACACTGAGAGCAAGTGAAAGGCTTTTTCCCAGTATGAATTAACATGTGAGTCTTAAGGCTTGATTTGTGTGTAAAACTCTTTCCACACTGAGAGCAGCTGAAAGGCCTTTTGACTTGGTCTCCTTTCTGTTTAAAAGTCTTTCCACACTGAGAGCAGGAGAAAGGCTTTTCCCCAGTATGAATTAACATGTGCCTCTTAAGGCTTGATTTATGTGTAAAACTCTTTCCACACTGAGAGCAGCTGACAGGCTTTATTCCAGCATGAATTAACATGTGAGTCTTAAGGTATCCTTTACTTGTGAAACTCTTTCCACACTGAAAGCAGCTGAAAGGCTTTTCTGAAGTGTGAGTTACCAAATGATTCTCAAGCTGTCCTTTCTGTGTAAAACTCTTTCCACACTGAAAGCATTTTAACGGTTTCTTTTTAATGTGAATTTTCATGTGGAATTTAAGGCTTTCTTTTCGATTGAAAATTTCTCCACACTGTTGGCAGGTGTAAGAGCTCTCTCCAGTATGAACTCTCAAGTGGGGTTTGTTAAAGTTTATAGTTTGTGTTTTTTGAGCTTTTATTGGTGAGGAAGTCTTTTCAGTTTGTGAGCAACTTATACATTTTTCTTCAGTTTTGAAATAATGTTTTTCATTTTGATCTTTATCTTCTGTTTCGTTCATTATTTATTTTTGCTTTTTTACTTTTCTCTGTATATTTATTTATTTATTTTTGCTTTTTTACATTTTTTTTGTACATTTATTTTTAATTATGGCAGGATTAGCATTCCATAAAAAAACAGTCATAAGGGTCAATTTTTGTAAATTGTGTAAATTGAAATTGTACATTTCATAATCTGAAAGCTGAATAAATAAGCTTTGCATTGATGTATGGTTTGTTAGGATAGGACAATATTTGGCCGAGATACA